TAAGAAAAATAAAATGTAAGGGCCACTAAAAGCCAATACAGACCTAATAACTTGATACTTCCTCAGTTACTGGGTAGGTATTCTACATTTCTTGATTGCCTCTTCACTGAATTGTTTGCTAAACAAATGCCTGTTCATATGATTAAAAGACAGGATTTTTACAGGATCCAAATAAGGATCCTTTTCGATTATTATTATTATTTTTATTTTTTATTTTTTGAGTTGGAGTCTCACTCGGTTGCCTGGACTGGAGTGCAGTGGCCGCTCCTGGCCACCGCAGCCTCGCCTGCTGGGCTCCCGCGATCCTTCCGCCTCAGCCTTCCGAGTAGCCGGAATTACAGGCATGCGCTACCACGCCCAGCTGATTTTTTTTTATTTATTGTAGAGATGAGGTCTCGCTGCCCAGGCGGGTCTCGAACCCGCGGGCTCAGGCAATCCACTCACCTCAGCCTCCCAAAGGCGCGAGATTACAGGCTGAGCCACCGAGCCCAGCTCATTGTAATTATTCTTCTCAGTAGAATTTCTTTATGATAAGATGTTCAAGCAGTTGTAAATGACAAAGGCTAGAAAGTAAGTTATATTCAATAAAGTAGGATATATAACCTAGCAACACTGGCATTATCCATTACATTAGTTCAATCCAGAGTTTCCTGCACTTTCTTAGTTCAGAGCACTCTTAGTTAAGGTTCGGTAATATTTTGACACCCCCCCCCAGGCCAAAAGCAATACCTAACAGTTTTATTTATTAAATAAGTAAACCCAAACAATAAGTATTTATGTCCTGGCAACTTATAGTAGACATCTGGAAAAGTAATACACATACATTTAAAGTGTTTACTTCATTTTTAAGTAGACACAATGACTTACTCATGGGCTGTGTGTACCTTTTGGACACTTCTTAAAATGTGGAATCTGACTGGACACTGCCACCCTCCTTGCCTCATTGTTCCATGCTGATTTTGACGCACGAATTGCTTTTTCAGTAACTGCCACAACCTAGCTTTGCAAAGAGAGGACATCTTGGAGAGGAGTAGAGCCAGATATGACACCAAGACAATGAACTGCCTTGAGCACAATGTACCAAGATGCTGAGTATCACCATTTCTCTCAAAGTTAAAAAGGATCCGATGGCATCCTGTGGGTTCACTGGGGTGCCTCCATGCAGTTTGGAAACCACAGCTCTGTGCCCTTTTTTTCTCTTGATCTGTGGAATTTTTCCTTCTGGGCCTGCTTGTCGATGTGCCAAGTCAGTCACCACCTCTTCCCCCTTCTCTGCAGATCAAGGTCATGCAGCACTCACTAATGCATGGAGCCCTATGTGGCCTGGGCTGCCACAGGTGTTCCTTTGAGGCCAGTTGTTCCTGTCATGGTGCTTATAGGATTTTTTTCTTTATCCTTTGATTTCAGCCCATGACCTGGCTCAGACATCAATAAACTATGTGCTATTTTCACTTCTATTTTATCTGTGACAGGTTTAATTTAACCGGAGAAGGCTGCAGATCTTCAGGGTTGGTGTAAAAATAGCTCACCCTGATCCAAGGTGATCCAGTGGCCAGCTTTTCTCATTGTAGCCATTTGCTGTCAGTGCCCATTTCCTTGTGGATATGACTTTGAAAAATGCCAGAAGTGCTGGGCTTTCTCCAAGAATTCCCCAGCACCATGCCTCTGTCTCCAGAGTGGGGCCCGGCATGAGAGGAGCACCCCACTGCCTCCCTGATGTTGGGCTTGGCCTCGTGGTTCACCAAGGCCAAACAGAGGCAGAAGTGACGGTGGGCCAGCTCCAAGCCTTGGCCGCAGGGCACTGTGTGTTCTGCTCACACCCCGGGAGCCTCCACCTTCCACCCAGTTGGGAGGGTGCGCTGGGGAGCTGCGGTCCCTCCAGCCCAGCCCCAGAACCAGGGAGTAGAGTCATCCCAGCTCACCAGAGACCCACAGACCGATGAGTGTGAGAGAAATGCATATTATTGTGCACTGAGTTTTGTGGTGGCTTGTTACACAGCAAACTGACGCAGAAAAAAAAAGATGTCCATGAGGGAAAGGTCAAAGAGCAATGGAGACTCAGCATCTGAGAGGTTACTGTCCTCAGGGGTAGGATGACTTTTTAAGAGATGAAATGATTCTTCTGAGGAATAATGTTACCCCATCTGACAGATGAAGACATTGAGGTTCCAGAAAGCTGAAGGCCTAGTGGTGAACCCGGACAAGCCCCATGTCCCTGACACCCAAGGCCAGGGTCTTTCTGGGTTGTGCTGTTCTCATCAAAGCCCCTTTCCTGAGGGTGGCCACATGGCAGGCAGTGGTGCTCAGGGTTCCACCATTTGTCCAGTGAGAACTGAGTTCTGACCTTCCTTCTGGTGGGTAGAGGAGGGAGGCCAAGCACCATGCCTGGGAGTAGACTGGGCAGCATTTGGTAAAGAGCCAGGAGGGGATGATATCCTTCATGCCAATAACTGGGGGCACTTGTGCTGTGTGCTGTAATTGGGTCCCAGACGGCCCCTCCATGGTGGACAATGCCTGCTCTCTAGGCTTGTTCCATTCCCCACAATGAATCTCTGTCAGATGTGTGTCCAGGAAAGAAAACTGCCAGAGTCAGAGGGCCAGGCCACCTACACGGAATACTGCAGTAGCTGTGCTTGGAGCTTAGGACTGGATTTTGACATGCTGGAGGCTCTGCTGGCCTCAGAGATTGACAGCAGGGAAGAACTGGGAATCAAACCTTTGAAAAAGTCTGCAACAAGGTCTTTGGGAGCTTGAGGAGCAGCCATGTGTTTCCCCCACTTTGTTGTATTGAGGGATAAATGAGGTGACAAACATGTTTTTATTAATTAAAGGGGAATACTAGTCTTGTTGAAGTTGGTTTTACTTACTATTTCTGGTCCACACTGGATCATCTTCTGCTTCACAGCCAGCTGGCCCGATCCTTTGACCTTGGCCTCTGCTGACTCCTGCCCGAAGGCCTCCCACAGGAGAGACCACACCGTCCACGAGCAGTGCAGCCCATGGGGGACCAGCACAGCCCCTTCCAAGTGGACGGAGTCCCCAGCACAGGGCAGTGGGCTGAATGGTGGCATCTCCAAAGATGTCCATGTCCTAATCCCTGGAGCCTCTGATCGTTAATTTATCCAGCAGAAAAGGACTTTGCAGATGTGATTAAAGAATGGTGAGATAAGGCACATATATCTTCAGAAGAGGGAGGCAGTGGGAGAACTAACACAGAAGAGGAGGCCACATGACTATGGAGACAGAGACCGGAATGACATGGCCACAAGCCACGGAATGCCAAGGACACTGGCAACCATCAGAAACTGGGAACCAAGGAAGGATTCCCCAAAGCCTCCAGAGTGAGCGAAGTCCTGCTAACACCTTGATTTTAGCCTTCTGGCTTGAACTATGAGAGGATCAATTTCTATTTTTTTAAGCCACCAAATTTATGGTGGTTTGCTAGCACAGCCTTGGGAAATGAATACAGATGGTCATGGTTAAGGTTTCCAAAATAAATGATTGGTCCCAGCTGGACTTGGTGGCTCATGCCTGTAATTCCAGCACTTTAGGAGGCTGAGGCAGGAGGATCGCTTGAGCCTAGGAGTTTGAGATCTCATCTCTACAAAAAAAAAAAAAATTAGCTGGTGTGGTGATGTGTGCTTATAGTCCCAGCTTCTCTAGAGGTTGAGGCAGAAGGACCACCTGAGCCTGGGAAGTCAAGGCTGAGGTAAGTCAAGTGTGATGGTGCCACTGCACTCCAGCCTGGATGACAGGGTGAGACCCTGACTCAAAAAAAGAAAAAAGAAATGACTAGATTCAAGGCCTAGGATGGACCTCAGCTGCTGCCCTGCCCTTGTGACCTGGTCACGCCGGATCCTCTCAGGCTTAAACACGCAGCATCCTGTCTACCTCAAGGCAGCTCCCCACAGCCTGGCCAGCAACACTGGTTGGGCTTCGCAGTCCCACTCTTCCTGGTCCTGTGATCAATGGCACCCACAGGCCTGGCACCCCAGTGCTGTAGGGCCTTCCTCTCATGGCAGGAAGGAATCAGGAATGCAGGAGTGACCTGGCCACAGGGCTCCATTTGCAACCCAGGATGCGGCTTTGACCTCTGGCTCCAAGGTAACCTTGGGGCCCTGGAACAGAGATGAGCACAGCTGAGCCCAGCCTAGTCCTGCCCTCCTGTGTACACCTGCTGCCCATCCCGGGCCTGAGGGCTGGGGTAGCCACACGTGCGAGGGACACAAAAGCCTATTATTAGACATTTTATAATCAAGTGTAAACATGATTATCAGCTGCTGTTTTTATAGCAGTGAGGAACCTGTGCCTTCAGAAATAAGCACATGCCAGCAACCCACCTGCATGGAAAGCTACACAGTGTCATTGTTCTGCCCCCTCAGGTGATGGCACACATGTGCCCAAGGAAGGTCACGGCTGCCTGAACCTTTAAAACCCCGGGCAGCTTGCACGTTGCTAGTGCAGGATCCTGAGCCCAGCAGCACCGCCAAGGCTTCAAGCCGTGCTCTTCAAAGACCTCCCTTCCTAAATGAATTTTTTTCTTAAAGCAGCAAAAGGAAAAACTTGACGCCAAAGAATATTCCAGATTCTTGGCAGAATTGGCTCTGAGGATATTATCATCATCATCTCAGGTGAGCGCCAGGCTGAATCACTCTGGGTGACTGGCCGGTCCTGGACCAGGCAGGGAGTCTCAGAGCTGTGTCCCCCAGCAGAGAACAAGGCATCTTCTTCGGTGAGCATGGGCCCCAGGGGTCTCTGGCATCTGTCATGGGGCAGATTTCACGTGGGTGAAGGTGTGACTTGGCACCAGGCATCTGACTCTCTGGATATTGTGAGAAAGGCTTGTGAAGGTCTCCTGTGTTCAGCATGGCCTGCGGACAGGACCTCCCTGACTGTGGGTTCTACCAGCTCTCACCAGCTGGGCTCCAGGAGGCTGGGGTGTGGGTGGCAGGGGCGACATCCCGTTTCCCCCATGTCTCTACAGCCCACCTTCTCCCAAGATGAGGGGCGAGAGACTGCTGGGTGCACTGCTGGCCCTGGCCAGCCTGTTGCAGGTGGCCCTTTCTCTGAAGATCGCAGCCTTCAACATCCGGACATTTGGAGAGACCAAGATGTCCAATGCCACCCTCTCCAGCTACATTGTACAGGTGAGTCCAGGGTGGTCTGTCCCCAAGGGCAGAGGAACCCCAGAGAAGGGCCCAGGGAATGCTGGGCCAGTGGCCTGGGGTTGTGGGCAGGTCAGCGCTGGGGACTCCAGACTGTTGAGTATCTGAATGACATCGAGAGCCTCATCTTTCAGGGGTGGGACAGGACCCCGGTTGCTGGCCCAGGGTCCTTGTCCTTGCCATGCTGCCCATGGCTGGCAGCAGGAATGCAGGCAAGAGCATTGGGCTATGACAGAAATACCTTGGAGCAGTAGCTGCAGCTCCTGTCATGGCCCTGTGGGGACCTGGGGACAGGCAGAGCTGGTTGCCCCTGGGCAGCCACAGCCTGGTCAGCACCGCTGTGGCCTCACCCCTCAGATCCTGAGTCGCTACGACATTGCCCTTGTCCAAGAGGTCAGAGACAGTCACCTGACGGCCGTGGGAAAGCTGCTGGACGAGCTCAATCAGTGGGTGACAGTGGCGGAGTCCCAGGGGAGGTGACGACCCCATACAGGGCCCAGCCTCACTTTATTCAGGCCCAGGGAAAGTGACGGGTGGGGGGCAGAGCCCTGGTGTCAGCAGCTGGAGGGTCCCCTCTGTGGTCCCGACTGGGACCTTTTGTTCCTTCAATCCAGGGACACACCAAACACCTATCACTACGTGGTCAGTGAGCCACTGGGACGCAACAGCTACAAGGAGCGCTACCTCTTTGTGTACAGGTAATATCTTGGGCCCACCTGGCCTGTGACCACAAGGACCGAGATGTGGGGGGACAGACCCCGTGGCTGAGGGGTGTCTAGACAGCCAGGAAGCCAGCCCATCCCTCACCTGGGAAGGCCCCAGCAGAGCGGGGGAAGCCATGTCCTGGGGCAAGAAACCAAGGCCACAGAGCCAAGGTCCAGGCTGAAGCCAAACCACCTCAGGACCTCAGGGCTAGTGGGGTGACGGGTGGCCAGCGGCCGTGTCCTCCCTCCCAGGGGTCTCTCGCAGCCCGTGGAGAGGCTGGCAGGACGTGGCTGGTGCTCCAGCCTGCATGGGCCCGAGTGCAGCCCAGGCCGTGGTGCCCACCTCCCGTGAGCAGCTCAGGGAGGGGAGGCTGAGGTCAGCTCCTCTCCCTGGCTTTCCACAGGCCCGACCAGGTATCAGTCCTCGATAGCTACTACTACGATGATGGCTGCGAGCCCTGTGGAAACGACACTTTCAGCAGAGAGCCTGCTGTGGTCAAGTTCTCCTCCCCGTTCACTGGTGAGTGCTGCTGCCCTGGGCTGCCTGGGCCAAGGTAGAGTCTTGGATCGGTGTTTATGGCCCCAGGCCCCTCCCAGAACACCTGGGAAGCTGCATCGAATGCTGCCCACCTCCCTCAGCCCCTAGAGGGAGGTTTTACATTGAAGTTACTTGGTAAACGTCCACCCCCGGGGCACTGTCTCCCATCCTTTATCCCAGGCCTACAGTATGACTGAGCCTTCCCTGTCCATGTGTGGCCTCTGAGGTGCTCTCTGGCCAGGCCTCCACAAGGTGGACTCTGCATACCACATCCTTAGCACGACTACCGTCTTTGCAGAGGTGAGGGAGTTTGCCATTGTTCCCCTGCACGCGGCCCCAATGGATGCAGTGGCTGAGATCGATGCTCTGTATGATGTCTACCTGGATGTCCAGCAGAAGTGGGGCATGGAGGTATGAGGCCCTCCCGGGGCAGGGGGCTCCAGGGGCCTCCATTTGTCCTTGTGCCAACTGGATGTTCTGATAGGACATCATGTTGATGGGCGATTTCAACGCCGGCTGCAGTTATGTGACACCCTCCCACTGGCCATCCATCCGCCTGCGTACCAACCCTGCCTTCCAGTGGCTGATCCCTGACACCGCTGACACCACAGCTACATCCACACACTGTGCCTATGACAGGTGAGGGGGCTGGGCAGGCTCAGGGCGGATGGGAGGGGCGTGTCTGTGAGCAGCCTTGACTGGCAGGTCCAGCTTCAGAAACAGGCCCTCTGGACACTGACCCTGATGGTCGGTCCACTTAGGTTGAAAGGAGACGCAGAACCTACATTCTCATGTAGTTGTCATTCCCGAAAATCCCGGGAGTACAGGCTGTGTGAGTAGCCTTGGCACTGGGTTCAGCTGTCACAGGTGGGGGAGGTCCCAGATCCCTCAGCTCATAGTAGCAGGGGTTGAGCCTGGGAGAGCCAGGTGGGCCCACAGCCAGGGCAGCAGGTGAAAGGAGAATCTTCTCTCCTGTCCCAACACCTCTCAGGATCGTGGTTGCGGGAAATCTGCTCCAGGGTGCCGTTGTTTCCGACTCAGCTGCTCCCTTTGACTTCCAGGCTGCTTACGGCCTGAGCAGCCAACTGGTATGTGTCCTTCCCTTGCATGCTTAGCTCAGACGTGGACAGTGATACAGGACCTCGGCGAGACCCAGGCCCATGATTCTGACGTGGTTGCTGCTTCTCCACACACTGACATGAGCCAGGCCAGGCCTTCTCCTGAGTCTCTGACGGTCTTTAGGCTGGGAAAGTCTAGGCTCTGACTTGAAAGGCTCCCTCTACCTCCTGGCCTTTCCAGTGGACTTGGCAGCATGCCACGTGATGCAGGAGCCAAACAGCCTGGCTTCAGCCCCACCCACTGCCCTTGGGATTCCCAGCACTAATGCCTCGGTGCCAAGTCCTCCCTTCTTCCGGGGCAGTGCCGAGTCCCTATGCCCACTGCATGTTTCCCCACAGGCCCAAGCCATCAGCGACCACTACCCAGTGGAGGTGATGCTGAAAAGAGCCTGACACGTGCAGCACTGCAAGCTTGCCCCTCGACGGCAGCAAGCTGCTCCTGGAGAAGGCGGGTGATGCAGTGCGGGAGTCTGAGATGGAGTCTCTCCCACCTCCCCAGCCACCAGGGCAGGTCGAGCTGGAGGAAGAGGATGGGTGGGGCCATTTCACAATCTCCCTACTTCCCAGTGTTAGTACGGGCTGCTCGCCACAGTCCCCACCTCCTCAGAGCCTGGACAAAAAGTCTAGCACATAAATTAATACACTTTAATTTATGCAAATAAAGCTCAAGCAGGTAGGGTTCTCATCTGTGGTGCCTGTCCTTCCTCCCCTTGCCTGGGGTACTTGACCATCAGTGCTTCTCCAGGGCCTTGACAAGAAGGTCGTTCAGGCGGCTCACCATCGGCCTGGGGTCATCAACAAGCCCAGCTGCTATCATGGCGTTCTCATATATCTGGAAGGCAGGATGGAAGCTGCATCAGGAGGGTGGGGGACCCAGAATGCAGAGGGACATCAGGGGAGAGCTTTTTCTTTCTAAAGGAGTGCCCCCCAAGGCAGGCAGGCTCACAGAGCTGGCCACCCAGCAGCGTCTGACCCTCTTACCTGATCCACCAGCAACTGAGCCAGGTCAGGCTCGTGCTCTCTCAGCTGACTGAGCTTCTTGATGAGCATGTGCCTGTAATACAGAAACCACCACAAGATGCTGCTCAGGACTGGGTGGCACCACCCAGCACAGGGTTTCTCCCTTCATGCTCCAGTTACCTTCTTGAGAGGTGGGATTATCAGAATATTTTCAAAAGGTATATAAAAATTAGATCTAAGTGATCACTTATAGACAATATGATTATATACCCAGAAAACTCAAGAGAATCAGTCAAGTTTCAATATTAGAAAATGCAGGCCGGGCTCTGGCTCGGCCTGTAATCCCAGCACTTTGGGAGGCTGAAGTGAGAGGACTGCTGGGCAACTTGGCGAGATCTCGTCTCTACAATAAATCAAAAATTAACCGGGTGTGGTAGCATGTGCCTGTAGTTCCAGTTACTTGGAAGGCTGAGGAGGAAGGATCACAGGAGTCCAGCAGGTCGAGGCTGTGGTGGCTAGGAGAGTGCCACTACCCTCCAGCCTGGGTGACAGAGTGAGACGTCAACTCAAAAAAAAAAAAAACACCCAAAATGCAGACCAGGCATAATGGTTCATGCCTGTAATCCCAGCACTTTGGGAGGCTGGGCGGGCATATCACTTGAGTCCAGGTATTCAAAACCAGCCTGGGCAATATAACAAGACCTCATCTCTATAAAAAGAAAAAAATAAAATAAAATTCAGTAAAGTAAGGTGGCCAAGTTCCAAAATGAACATACACTAAAACTATAAAGAGAAAAAATAGGATAGTTTAATTTATGAAGATAGGCCTTAGGTCTTGGGAAAGTAGACCATAAATAATAAAGGTGAAATTTTCCCTAAATTAACTCATAAATTTATATTTTAAAATTTCTTTTATACCTAAACAATCTAAGTTTAAACAGAAAAATAAACATGAAATAACAGCCAAGAAAAGAGGGGAATAAAGTCCCAGATGTTGAAACATATTATTAAGCTCTAATAATTAAAGCAGTTTAGTTCTGGAACATGACAGGCAAACAGCTGAGTGCAACAAGGTGAAAAATACAAAAATATACGCAGATATATATGGAAACGGAGTATCTGATAAAGACAGCATCTGATATAAGTGAGAAGACAGATTATGTAGTCAACAGTGAATGGCTAGCCATCCAGGATTTCCTTAGAGCAAAGTAAGTTCCAGAGGGATCGAAAATTAAATATCAAAATTAAAAGCACAATTCTAGAAGAAAACAGGGAAGAAATGTTTTCAATCTTTCCAAGCAAACTATAAACTCAGATGCCAAAAAGAAAAGAAGATATTTTACTACATAAAATTTTTTTCTGCATGGGGAAAAAGACTATGTAGTATTTAATAGGAAACACACATCAACATTAATAAGAAAAATTTTCATTTGTAAGAATGGCAAAAATCGAGAAGTCTGATAAAACTGAGGGTGCTGGGAACTGTACATTTGTATAACTTCCACAGAGGACAGTTGGAGTCTATAAAATCACATGTGATGATACGAGAGAGGCTCAGCGACTCCATTTCCTCACTTTGCCTATAAGAGGAAACACTTTAAATGTGCATCCTTATAATGGGATCTGTGTAGCTGGGAAAAAAGAGGACATTCTTAATATACCAACTTGGAGGTCTCTTAGCTATGCTGCTAAATGAAAAATGCAGGGTAAGGCTCCACTACATAGCAAAAGTTACCTCTTGTGCAACCAAGAGGAAACCCACGGGCATATCTGCCCCAAAACACACATGATATCTCTGCTGAGACACAGAAGAAAGCTACAGCAGCATTCAGGGCAATGATGAGAGGAAAATCCCCCCCCCTTTTATGTCGGGGTCTCTGTTGCCTAAGCTAGAGTGCAGTGCCACAATCACAGCTCACCCAGCCTTGACCTACTGGGCTCAGGTGATTCTCCTGCCTCAGCCTTCTTTCAAATAGCTGGGACTACAGGAGCACACCATCACACCCAGCTGACTAGTTTTTTTTTCCTGTAGAGATGAGATCTTGCTATGTTGCCCAGGCTGGTCTCAAACTCCTGGGCTCAAGCAATCCTCCCACCTCATCCTCCCAAAGTGCTGGGATAATAGGCACGGGCCACCATGCCCAGCTAAAAGTGGAATCCTTCAGCAGTCGAAAAGAGCACTTCTGCACGGCCATCTATAAAGCCAGTTTGCCACCAGAACTAATTAAAGTGACTCAGTGTCTGCCTCATGCAGCTGCTACGGTGGAGGCACAAGCCTCCTGCAGGCCCGCCCACTCTGCTGCAAGGTGCACAGTGGACATTGCCAGCCCGAAGCCGATTCAGTTCTCACCCATAAAGTCATGTGGAGGAATCTGGCTCAGAAAATGGAAAAGGCAACTCCCCTACCCCCAGTATTTTATAATTTAAAAAGTTATGATTTTAAAGTGACAAAAAAAGTAGACATGTACTATATTTTAAAAAAGCTATATAAATATAAAACAAAGGTCAAAAAGAAAATACCAATTAGATGACACTGACTGGTAGGGAATGAGGCTATGAATTTAGATTTTCTTTTTACTATTTTCTAACATTGTTGGTAACTTGTTTATGTAATTTCATTTAAAAATTATTGCTGGGCTGGGCGTAGTGGCTCACGCCTATAATCCCAGCATTTTGGAAGGCCAAGGTGAGAGGACTGCCTGAGCCCATGGGTTCAAGACCAGCCTGGGCAACTTGGCGAGACCTCTTCTCTACAACAAATCAAAATATTAGCCAGGCATGGTGATTCACACCTGTAGTTCCAGCTACTTGGAAAGTTGAGGCGGAAGGATCACTGGAGCCCAGCAGGTCGAGGCTGCGGTGGCCGGGAGCGTGCCACTGCCCTCCAGCCTGGGCGGCGGAGTGAGACTCCAACTCAAAAATAAAAAAATAAAAATTATTGCTGGCCAGGTTTGGTGGCCCAGCCTATAACCCCAGCACTTTGGGAGGCCGAGGAGAGTGGATTGCCTGAGTCCACGGGTTTAAGACCAGCCTGGCAACTTGGCGAGACTTCATCTCTACAATAACAACAAGAAAAAGGCAGGTGTGATAGCGCGTACCTGTAGTTCCAGCTACTTGGAAGGCTGAGGCAGAAGGATCGCCAGAGCCCAGCAGGTTGACACCAGGGTGGCCGTGAGTGTGTCACTGCACTCCAGCCTGGGCAACAGAGTGAGACTCCAACTCAAAAAAAAAAAATTATTGCTGTATACAAAATCAATTTCCCCACAAAGAGAAACTTTTTATATGCAACAGCAACAATCAGAAAATGAATTTTAAAATATCTACTAAATAAGCCACACCAAAGAATAGCTTTTAAGAAAAATAAGGCCAGGCAGGTAGCTCACACCTGTAATCCCAGCACTTTAGGAGTCTGAGGCAGGAGGATTGCTTAGAGGCCAGGAGTTTGACACAACATAGTAAGACCTGTCTTCACAAAAAATTAAAAACTGGTTGGGTGTGGTGGTATACACTTCTTGTCCCAGCTACTCAAGGAGGCTAACAGAGGAGGATCACTTGATCCCAGGAATTCAAGGCTACTGCAGTGAGCCATGATTGTGCAACTGCACGCCAGCCTGGGCAACAAAACAAAAAATACCGTCAAAAAAAAAAAAAA